TCTTGGTCACCGGCATTCCCCCGGAAGATTATAGCTATTCTAAACAACTTTTAAGAGATATGAGGATTTTGCAGTTTGTGAGTTGTATATAATTAAATGTATATAATTTTAATGGCCTCTATGAATTTATAAGCCTAATTATTATAAGTTTGGGAAAAGTAAATGAAAACTACATATGGACCTTTAGTATTGTGGTTAGTTTAGCAGAAACTAGAAGGTACAGATTGAGTTAAGCATCTCTCCCTACATTATCAGCTCAAGGTCAATATATTCCAACTCAAGTCATATACAGGTAAAGAAAACAATTTTGGCATATAGAAAACATCATATTCTGTGTTCCTTTGGTCAGACTCCAGCTGAATCTCACGAAGACAATGTTTATGAGAAACAGTCTCGTTCCTGACGTTCCATTCGCTCTCAAAGGAAAGACCATCTCTAAATGCAACAGTTATGTGTACCTAGGTCAAGAAGTCAACATGATGAATCACCTGGCATCTGAGTTGCGTAGGAGGAAGAGAGCAGCTTGGATCGCCTTCAAGAGCATCAAAGAAATAGCTAAGAGGATGAAGAACCTCTGGCTCCGGGTACATCTCTTCGATTCCACTGTTCTTCCTGCATTAACATACGCCTCAGAGACCTGGGCCCTAGGAAAACAGGATGAGAACTCTCTTTGGGTCTCCCAAAGAGGAATCAAAAGAGCTGTGCTTGGAGTATCATATTTCACTCAAATGAGAGAAAGAATCTGGAGTTCCAATCTCCGTTGACAGTCAAGAATCAGGGACACTGTCTCATTTGCCAAGGCATCGAAAATCAGATGGACTGGACACGTAATGAGATATGGAAATGACCGCTGGACTAAAGCCATTACCGACTGGATTCCACAGGACATCAAAAGACTACGTGGCTGCCCACCTACAAGATGGTCAAATTTCTTCGTCAAGACCTTGAATGATCAGTTTGAGGCTCTTCGTGTTCCTAGAATGAACAGACGCCATTGGACTACACTAGCACGCAACAGGGACAAATGGAGACAGTACTGGTGCCCGCTGGAGCAAATCGATGATTAATGAGAAGTCAAGTGATCAAGTGATCTGTGTTCCTTTGAAAACATCATGAATTATGATAATGGGAAAATTTTTTCAACTAGGCATGTTAAAGTGTAGATGCCTAGAATAAAAAGGGCAATAGCACCCACCCTCTGTGGGGTGTGGAGAGGTGATATTATCATCTTTGCCTCCAATCACACAAAGCCACAGAGCCACACTCAATAAGAATCATGTTTTCCAATGTGCTAGGATTAAAATGTGCTTAAGGTCTTTCTTAGAACAACTAAAGCACAAAATCAGAAGAACCTAATCAACAATATAAAAAAGTTAGATCCCCAAAGTTATAACTGAGTGCCAAGAAAATTCAATTGGAAATTTGGCTGAGGCTAGTCTCTAGTGACTCAAGAGAATAAATCAAGAGACATTTATCTAGGAAAGTCTAGAATCCCACCAACTAATTCATTGCCATAGAGGGTTGTTTTTTATTTAATTTCAAAAGCTATCCCCTTTGAGGACAATAGAATTACAGAATGGATTCATTCATTTAACATAGATTTATTGAGTGCAAAAATATATAAGCCAATTATAGAAAGTGATACAAGTGTGCAGCAGGGAAGTTGTTTTAGATAGTGAAGTAAAATTAAGCATCATTTTTATAAGAACAATGAAATCATTGTTCTTGTAAAAATTAATAATAAGTGAATAAATGTATACACTTATTGCACTGCATGTACTGTGACTAGAAAAATAACCTTTTGAGAGAGAGAACAAAAGGGAATGCCCTGCCACAAAGGCAGGGTGGGAGGGGGGAGATGGGGGGTGGGAGGTATACTGGGACCCGTGGTGGTGGAAAATGAGCACTGGTGGAGGGATGAGTACTTGATCATTGTATAATTGAAACCCAAGCACAAAAATTTGTAAGTTTACAACTGCACTTCATGGTGTTTCACTAATAAAAATTTTAAAAAAGAAAAATACCTTTTTTGTTTTCCAAGATTTCTGAGAAATTAACTTATTAAAAATTGTGAAAAAGAAGAGGAGTGCTGGAGCAAGAGTACAGCAGGTAGGGCACTTGCCTTGCAGGTTGGTTCAATCCTTAGCATCCCATATGGTCACCTGAGCATGCTAGGGGTGATTCCTGAATGCAGAGCCAGGAGTAAGCCCTGAGCTTAGGTATGGCCCCCCAAACAAACAAGTTAAAAAAGAAGAGAAAGAAAAATAGGTAGAAGCAGAGGGAAATAAATAATGTAAGTAAAGAGAAAGAGAGTCAGTTGTAATTTAAAACGATAAGAAAATATAAGCATTACTTGAGCTTCTAATAAGTTAGGAACTGTATTTCAGAAAGGGATCCAATCAGAAAAAGACAGTAGTATTCAGGATTAAAACATCAAAGACAAAACCATCCTTTTATTTAAAAAGTGGAAAGGCAAGACAAAAACGTCCATGTGGACTCAAAGGAGTATTAGGATAGAACAGAATTCAGGTGAAATTGAAAATAAGTAAACTTAACACTTAAGAAATGAGGTAGCTCTACTGCAACCACAATACTCATAAGAAAAGAGATAGAGCAAAAGGGAATGCCCTGACACAGAGGTGGGGGGGCGGGGGGGAATACCAGAATCATTGGTGGTGGAGAATGGGCACTGATGAAGGGATGGGTACTCGATCATTGTATGACTGAAACATAAGCATGAAAGTTTGTAAGTCTGTAACTGTATCCCATGGTAATTCATAAAATAAAATAAAATAAAAAGAAATGAGGTAGCAGTGAAGCTTCAAAGATTCTATTCTAAAAGTGATCTCAAAAAAAAAGTGATCTTATGAAAATACTGTTTTCAAGAAGACAATTTGACAGTAAGTAATCTCAATTTTACTAAGTTTCCTTCACCACTTAGTAAAATCTCTCAAATCTAATTATATAACCTGGATATTTACATGTCTACAATCTTTATCTAAATGCTTTGCCATATCACCAGATGACTCAAATATATTATTAAATGAATTCCACATCTTGAACTAAAATTAGTTCCCAAGCTATAATTCCCTAACTTAGTATCTATGTCATGACCTTCCTTAACTTCTTTTTCCTCTACTTCCCTTTCTTTCTTCCCTTCTTTCCTAGACACGGGTAATTATCTATTTCAATTTGAACTCCCCTTTACAATATCAAGAATCAATCCTTTGTAATATCTACCAATAATCTTCTACTTCGTTTAAAAATAGCACAGTGGGTAGGGCATTTGCCTTGCATGAAGCCAACTGGTCCGCCCAGGTTCCATTCCTCCGCCCCTCTCAGAGAGCCTGGCAAGCTATCGAGAGTATCTCGCCCACATGGCAAAGCCTGGCAAGCTATCTGTGATGTATTCGATACGCCAAACACAGTAACAAGTCTCACAATGTTACTGGGCCCACTAAAGCTACTCGATGAACAATGGGAAGACAGTGCTACAGTGCTAATCTTCTATTTCAGGCTCTTCTTCCCTCAATGCATGGAACTATAAACTCCTAATGGCCGTTCTTTTTGGCTTCCAATTCACGCTACATATAATACATCTTTAGTACATGCTTTCAAATGGTCCTTTCCTAGTGTCTGCTCAGATTCTACTTTTTGCCTGGAATGCCTGCTATTCCTGTTAGCCTACAGGTCTATAAATTCCTTTTAAGATCTAGGTAAATTAGAGCCAATATAAATCAACTTAGAAACAATTTCTTTAGGCATTTAGTACTCTATCCTCTACAGTCTCAGGACTCTTCACAAAATTACCCTTTTACTACAGGTATTATTTATTGTGACCATTATGTGGCACTCTCCCTCTGGGACTCCAGGTCACTATGAAATAGAAATTATATCCTGCTCATCTTTATGCCCTAGCATCCAGCACAATACTCAGCCCTGAGTAGTCAGTACACACTTGCTGAGTTCAAGATATTAGACAAGGAGAACTAGATGGAATGAATTCAATCTACTATGTGGAGGGATATTGGCTACTTTGGTAACGGGCATGATGTGGTAACATTGTACCCCTAAACCATATAGAATATATACTCTTATAAATACATTGACTTATATCAATGTCAGCTCAATCTTTTAAAAAAGAAATCTGGCAATGCCTAAAATCGAATCTTTAAGGATTAGTGCTTTGCGAAGGGAAATGTCCTGTTCAACTTTTTCATTCAACTCATTTTATCAACTCTCCCATTACTTATAACACACACACACACACACACACACACACACACACACACACCTTGTTAAATATAACAAAGTCTTTGGTCACCTGATCCTGTCTAGAAGCTCAGTCTAATTTAATCTCTTCAAAAATAAGCAGCCACTCCCAAACTCCCTTCTGTGGTTCCAGTTTTCACATGTCTTTCTTCTCAATAAAGTGAGCCATCGTGCCAACCTAAGCAGTGAAGACTTCCTGGTGTTCCGGGTGTTGTTCCACTCTACAGTTATGATTGTTCTAATCTAGACCTTTCTACTGAAGTGGTATGTAAGGTATAAAAATTACTACAGAATATGAGAAGATAGAACCTAAAAGAATACACACTTCTTAAAACAAGAATAATGTATTACTCATATTTGCCTAGCTGATGTACATGGGTAAATTCCAGATCAGGAAATGTTATGATTGAACAAATTATTGAAGTTTGCCAAAACACTCATTTTCTCCAAAATCCCTCAAGCATGCTTAAAAAGCAGTAATATTCTGGCCCTGAAGATGACACAAAGGCTGGAGCATATGCTTTATATGTAAGAGGCCCTCATTCGATCCCTGGCACAACCACCACTCAGGGCAACTCTCCAAGAACCTCCTACTAAGGAGGCCTCAATCACCATTAGGTGTGACCCCCCAACAAAACAAAAATCAGTATGATTCATGATGAAGTTAGAAAGTTTCCACTCGCATGTGGGGAAGCAAAGTATATCCCTACTTTACCCAACAGACTCACCATCTTGTGTGTTTGGACTGAGGATTTGGCTGCGGAGTTCCTGTAGGCTAATTCCCAAACACCTGCAGACCTCCTCAGGACTATAGGGCTCAGGATGAAGGGCATCCTCTGTGATTAACAGCATTTCTTCCAGACTTACACCTAGTTCAGCCTGCACCTCCTCCAGCCGCAGTACTTTATCCCACTGCAAGCATTTGTACTTAGCCAGGAGCTGTAAATTCAAACCAAGATAATGGTGATCTTTCATTTCAGAAACTGATATGTGCTATTTTAATTAGCCAAATTCAACTTTAACTTTTCCATTCAAATGACCCATTGTTTAAATTTTGAAATCTCCCACCATTGCTTGAAAACGTACAGATGTTTGGAATTAATGTGTCCTAAAAAACTAACCATCCACCAATTTTTTTTGTCTGTCACCACTTTCCCTCAGGGCTGTTTCTTTGAATAATTTTATTCTTTCATCCCTCTTCAGTTCATCCCTAATGCACTGCACTCTATAAAGTCTACAGAAAATGGCTCGAATCTCATGTGACCTGAATCCTGAGGTGGACACTGTATGCCCAATTTCATTAAAGCACTTCCTGTTTACTACATGTCTCTTTGAAAACGGCTAATGAGTTTAAGGATATGGGCGTTTGAAGGAAAGTCCTAGATTTTAAATGAAAGCCTTATTGGTGACCTTATGAAAACCATTTCACTAGAACGCTGGTAGCAGCAGAGCTCTAAGTTTCTCTGCTCTCAAGAGAAAAGTTTGGCTTCCAATTACATCATGAGACCTCTTCAATATGATGAAGAAGGTTAAGCTGAAGGTTTGGTGACTTAGGGACACTCAGAGGAACCCCAATCCAGATTGTTTCTTTCTCCTTAAGACACGTACTGTGCTCCTTGGAGCAGGTAACACAGAAGACTTCTCTCATTCTGAAATTTATAAAATTCATTTCCAGGGTGTGAGGGTGGCAGGTGCAAACAGCAAAAAAAAAAAAAAGCAAGCCAAATTAAGGAGCTTCCAGAAAAGGAATTAATGTTCTAATGGTGAGATAAGGCGATTCTCACAATCTCACAATTTTTTTTTTATTAGTGAAGCACCATGAGGTACAGTTGTAGATTTACAAATCTTTGTGCTTGGGTTTCGGTCACACAATGATCAAATACCCATCCCTCCACCCGTGCCCATTTTCCACCACCCCCCCTCCCACCCTGCCTCTGTGGCAGGGCATTCCCCTTTGTTCTCTCTCTCCTTTTGGGTGTTGTGGTCTGCAAAAGAGGCATTGAGTGGCAATCATGTTCAGTCCATAGTCTACTTTCAACATGCATTTATTTTTACTGAAGTAAAAATTTTTTTATCATTCCATGAGCCATTTAGTGGTAATGAGCAATATAAGGGCTAGAGCGATAGCACAGCAGGCAGGGCGTTTGCCTTGCACGCAGCCAACATGGCCGACCCGAGTTCGATTCCTCCGCCCCTCTCGGGGAGCCCGGCAAGCTACCGAGAGTATCTCGCCCGCACGGCAAAGCCTGGCAAGCTCCCCGTGACGTATTTGATATGCCAAACACAGTAACAAGTCTCACAAGGTTATTGGGCCCGCTCGAGCAAATAGATGAACAATGGGAGAACAGTGACAGTGACCGTGAGCAATATAAAATAAATTATCACTGGCCTGCTATGAGGGCAGACTTGAAGGGTGGTTAGGAACTTGGAGACAATGGGAGAGGGAAGGTCTCTTTGAAAAGGGCTGGGGTGGTGGGGTTGGGGTTGGAATGTTCAATGCCTGTAACAAATCACCTTGAACAACTTTGTAAATCATCATGTTTAAATAAAGTGGGGGGAAAAATAAGGGCGGTTTATTTTTAAGGAAATGTGCATCTGATTTACTGTTCTATTATACCGATAGTTTTATTTGATTTCTTTTCAACAGGAAGCAGGATTTACCATAAGACTATTGCATTTTGGTTAAGGCCATTCACTTCTAAGAATGTTAATAGCATAAATTCATATAGTCATTATCCCCCTTTAAAAATGCTGGCTCATTTACTTAAAAGGAGTTAATGAATTTATGCCAGAATGGGAAAAAAAGAAATGGTGTTATATTTTTCTGTCCAATTATCTCACAGAACATGGTACTATCTTTAAAGCAAAGAAACAAGGGCTAGAGAGAGCTCAATGGACTGAACACATGCTTTATTTTCTGGAGACCCAGCATCACTGGAAGGTACACCTTTGTAGAGAGCCAAAAGTTTCCCCTGAGCCCTGGTAGGTGTGGCTGAAAAAAAAATTCAGGGATTGGAGATAGTAGAGCAGTTAGGGCATTTGCTTTAAAAGTGGCAGACCCCAATTCGTATCCCTGATATCCCATCTGGTCCCCTGAGCACCGCTAGGAGTCAATTCCTGAGTGCACAGCCAGGAGTAATCCCTGAGCACTTGTCAGTGTGGCCCAAAATCAAGCAAACAAACATATATATATATATATATATATATATATATGAAAAGCAATAAAATAATGAAAATCAAGAGAAACAAGTTTTCTTTTGATTTTGTTTTCTTAGCACATTAGGGTAGTATTTATTAGTATGGTTGGATTGACACCTCCTACACAGATGGACTTCTTAATTCATTTCATTAATTCATTCATGTTCTATATTCTAGTGTATATCCCAACAACTTGAGAAGTTTAGAAAGACATACATACAGCAGAAATATACAATATATTTTAAATTTTGATAGAAGCCACTGCCAGTGGCCTCTAGTATATGCCTAATGGTTCTCAGCCCTGTAGTATATGCCTTCTGGTTCCGACCCAGTAGTACTCAAGGGCCACCAGGGCTACAAACAGTGATGTTGGGGGGTTTTGGGGGGGGAACAAGGGAACATGAGTTGTCACCAGGGATTGAACTTAGGCCTTCTACATGCCCAGAATGTGTTCTACCACTTGAGCTTATCTTCAACTCATAATATTTCTTTTTTTTTTGAGGGGAGGGGGGAGGGGCAGGTAAGAGGGAAGGTGCACCTGACACTTGATAGGACTTACTCCTGGCTCTCAGAGAGCCTGGCAAGCTACCGAGAGTATCTCGCCCGCATGGCAGAGCCTGGCAAGCTACCTGTGATATATTCGATATGCCAAACACAGTAACAACAAAAGTCTCCAATGGAGACGTTACTGGGCCTGTTCGAGCAAATCGATGAACAACGGGAGGACAGTGGACAGTGGACAGTGGACTCCTGGCTCTGTCTCAGCAGTCACTAAGGTGGTATTTGAGGAACCAGATCCAACTTGAGCCTCCCGTATGCAAAATATGCAGTCCAGCCCTCTGAGCTATCTCTCCAGCCCTGATATACTGATTTTATACAGAAAATAGAGCTAATGTACATATCCACCTAGAATGATACTTGCTCGAAACTAAGATCCAAATCTACCTGAAACAAGCCAAATGAATTATACTGACAAATAATATTTTTATTGTGCTCTATGGTTTTAGATGTTTTTACTTCTATTGGTTGTTTGGGTTCTACTGTTTTCTTTCTATTATTTGTTTCTCGATGACGAATGACCGAGATCTGTTATTGACACTACTTCAAATCTCTGCTGGAGTCTTCAAAATGGGTTTCTAAATACAAACTAAGATTTCGATTAGAAATGAAGATTCCTATGATTTTTAAAACACAGAAGAGAAAATAAAAACACCAAAGAATTGCCCCCAGAGATGAGAGTATGCTCTTCCTAAGAATTTTTCAGTTAACACTGATTCCCAAACTGTCATCCCTGGCCACGCTTAGACAAGTCACAGTGCCTAGGGCCCTTGATCCCAGGAAACCAGGCCAGGGACGCAATAGGAGAAAGGGCTTCTGTGAGGGCTTTGACCAGGCAGCCCACGAGGCTGTTTGCAAAGGCAGCCCTCTCTATGTGGTTTTTCTTCTCCAGGATCACTAACATACAGAAGTTCACATTCACTTCAGCAGTATCCCAGTTTACTGCTGGGTCTACTCAACCCTCAGCTGGAAGGTTCACACAGCCAATTTGGTGAGGATTTGAATTCATGATGAATATGCCACATGTCCCCAAGGACAGCTGCACGGCCATTGAATAGCCACTGAATAGAACACTTCATCATGGGCATAAAACAGGAAAGCTGTTTAAGCCCTTTGAAAGTTGGCTTGGGAAACAGAAAGATGACTTGCAGAGCAGGGAGATGGGTGGGTAAGATTGCTGTAACTTAGAAAGAGAACTTTATGGGGCAAACTGCAACTTGCAGCCCTGGTGACTGATTGACTGAGCTCACTTGTAAAGCTGGTCTTCGAGTGAGGATGATGGGGGCATTTCATCGCAAGCTACTCAGTAGCAGGGCAGGGAAATAAAGGAAAGCAGTTCTCTGCCCACATTCACCATCTTCTTTTCATCACTGTAAACATTAACCATGCATATTCGATACCACTTCTGGACTTCTGGGAGCTTTCTAAACTGTTTGACACTCTGTGGACAAGAAAGGAAGCAGCAAGTGTTCTCTTCATTCCTGGAAAGAGGCAGACAGAGTGAACCTATTTAAGCTGATTTTCCTCAAAGGCAGGCCCTGGGGAACACAGATGAGAACAGGTGAGACAGGACTGCAGCCCCTGAGACTTGTGCGAATAACCTTCGAGATGAGCAAGAAATCTAAGCTGCGGGTCCACTTACTCTCCTCCATCACTAGGAGAAGAGTTGAGGCCTGCTTCCAGGAGTATTGAGTCCTTCCATGTAGCCCCAGGTGCAAAGTAAGCACTTTGCAGCAGCCAGAAAAAGTCCCATCAGAAAAAGTTGCTAGGGTTTCCAGTAAGAGGGTGTGGTAGGAAAGTACTAAAATGTGGGCCTAAATCAAGAGCCTATTTGTTAGAAACCTCTTTTTGACTTTTGCTGTTGCATTTAGTAGCATTAACAAATCAATGGCTAAAGGGCCAAGTCCTCTCAACAGATCAATAAAAATTTCTGATTTTTCCCTGAACTAACACTACAAACAATAACTCCTTCAACAAGTTGTTTTCCACACAGCAAAAGCAGCTGTGTTGTTGCTTCCGGTTATACCAAGCACAGATGCTTATTTTAATTTGAAAACACACACATTTTTGTTTGATTTGAAAAAACAGCAGAAAGGGGTTAGGGTACCGCCAGCAGGGCAGTCTGTACCTGTGAGAAGAGTGCATGAGCAGCCTGATGGCGCCTTCAGAATTCCAGATACCCC